TAAAAATGAGCTAAATCATGTGTGGAAATGATTCACCAAAACCATCATGTAATAAGACATTTAATAATACTTAATGATTCACCCTATCAAATGCTTTAAAAAATCTAAATAAATGATATCTTCATGACATTTTTATATATTCATATAATGATGAACTAAATTTTTATATCATTAAATTATATTGAGAATGAGTTCAGTGCTAGCACAAGAGCAGAGCAAATGAGATTCATACATTATTTACTCCTACAGTTTATTGGGTATCCTCCTAAATAGCAGTGGCATAGTTAGGCTTTTATTTTGGGGATATGCATAAGAAAATTTTTCATTGCCACTTAATATTTTTCCAGGGGATCTATCCCCATAAATCTCTTTTCCTCTAACACAAAGGCCCCACTAAACATAGCTATGACATTAAAAAAGATATATTATTGCTAATAAAATAAAAGTTATAATTATAATTTTAAACTTCACATGAATATTATATTTTCTAACACAAACAATATGTTTTTTATATAGGATGTTTTGCTTGTGGTATGGATAAAGGTTTTAGGGTATATAATTGTGATCCATTAAAAGAAAAAGTAAGACAAGATTTTCCTGATGGTGGCTTATCATTTGTGGAAATGCTTTTTAGATGTAATTATTTAGCAATGGTAGGTGGTGGTACATCACCAAAATATCCTACCAATAGAGGTATTTAATTATAATTCATAACTATAAATGTACTATTATCAATATTGATGTTAATATTTTATTTAGTTGTTATTTGGGATGATTTAAAAAAAGATACTGTTATCACACTAGAATTTAACACTCATGTACTTTGTGTTCGACTTCGAAGAGATAGAATAGTTGTTGTTCTCGAAGGTGTTATTAAAGTTTATACATTCACTCAAACACCACAACAACTACATGTATTTGAAACTCATGCTAATCCTAAAGGTATTGTATTTTCAATATATCAATAAAATAATAAAAATTATATGTTGTATTGTAATAATTGTATTTCATTGTTAACCTTTTAAGTAATGGGTAATAAATTATTGCTGATGAACATTTTTTTAATTTTTTTGATATCTGTGTTTATTCTACTAATAAAAGTATAATAATTGAAAGGCTTGATGTAAACCCAACTAAACTTAATTTTTCAAACATTTTTAGGAAACTAAAAATCCAAACAGTTTTAATATTTATGAGCTCTTAAACATATTAATATAATAATAATTGATCATTTGTGGCATTTAATATTTAAAATTAAAAAATTTATACATTAAAATTTACCTATTAAAATATTAATTTAATACTAAAAATATAAAAAATATTTAATTTAAAAATATTAATAACAAAAATGTTATTGCTATACTATGAATTATTAATGTACCTACCAAAAAAATTATATAAACACTATATTTTATATATAGTTCATTGTAATTGTTTTTTTTTTTTAATAAATTTACTCTTAATTTTTATCTTAATTAAGAACTGTCAAACTCTGATTTTGAAGTTATTTTGTTTTTGTATATCTATTATAATAACTATGTACTATTAACATAAAACTGTTTATAGTCAATCATTCAAAAGTTTATTAAATTCAAAATAACTTAATATATGATATTTCATAAATAACACCAGATTTAAAAATGTAATATCTCATTAATATTTTAACAAATATTTGTATTTTTACTTTCAATATGTATTCTAATTTTATTATAAAAAATATGTACTTTATGTTTTTCTTTGTTTTTTTATTGAAATTAGTTCTGTTAGCAACATTTCGATCATTTTTAACACATATTATTAATTTTATTATGCCAAATTTCTTGTTTGAGAACTTAAAAAGATCGAGATTAACTGATGTGAAAGAAAGATTTCTGAATGTGTTAAAGCTTTCATGGTTTGTTGTATTAGAATATTTACAGATATAAAGTTATGGATGTGTCTTCAGTTTTATTGGGTTAGAATTAAAAGTTATAATAATACTATATGATAGTGTATTTAAAATTTTAGAACTTTAACTATTGTTCTCAAGCTTAAAGCTGTAATGAGATTGAAATGTCTGCACGAAACTTTAAATTTTAACTACAATTTAAAACCTACATTATTTATAAGACATCCTTTATTTTATTGTTTTATAAATTTAACATTACAATTAATATTGCTGTTTTATATTGTATTTTTATGATTTTACAGGTTTATGCATGTTATGTCCTAATAGTAATAACTCTGTACTTGCATTTCCTGGTAGAAAAACTGGGCATGTTCAGTTGGTAGATCTAGCTGATACAGATAAACCACCACTTGATATTGCAGCCCATGAAACGCTATTAGGTTGCATTGCTTTAAATCTTCAAGGAACACGACTAGCTACTGCCTCTGAAAGAGTATAATTATTTAGAATTAACTAAATAATAATTAAATTAAATATGATTATTAAATTTAGGGAACATTAATAAGAGTTTTTGATACAAAATCTGGAAACATGCTATATGAATTTAGACGTGGAACTAATACAGCACAAATTTATTGGTATGTTTTAAAAATTTGACTAAATAAATATATTTATTCCTATATTCATATTTTGTAGTATTAACTTCAATGCAGAATCTACTATGATGTGTGTAGCTAGTGATCATGGTACTATCCATATATTTGCCCTTGAAGACCAGAGTCTAAACAAACAGTCTAGTTTAGCTTCTAACTTTTTGCCTAAATATTTTAGTTCCAGTTGGAGTTTTTGCAAATTTCAAGTACCCAATGGACCACAGTGTATTTGTGCATTTGGAACTGAAAACAACTGTGTTAATGGTATAGTAAATACAGAATATATATATATAGGTTTTTAATAAGTAAAGAACAGGTCAGTTGTTACAAATAATTATAACAATAACCCATTTCCTTACTTATCGAACACTCTATATATATATATATATATTTTTTTTTTTTTTTTAAATGGAACAGAATTGAAAAAATTCTGTAAAAAATAAGTGAGAAAAATAAATTTTTAACATAATCTAAAAATGCAAAAATTATTTTTTTTGTATTTTTTGCAAAAAAAAAAATTTTGATTGTTTTGCGTGGTGTACAAAGTAAGTCAAGAAGATATGACAAATCTAATAACTTTTGAACTTATAACAACTCTACGTTAATTTTTTTATTAATTGATAGATTTTTGACTATTATTTAAACATATTTAATCATTTTTTTTATCTATGTAAAAATATAAAAAATTTAAAATTTACATAAAATATTTTAACATTTAAAAAATAGCTAATTTATAGAATAAATTTTTAGAATATATATGGTATAAAATTACTCTTTTGACATTTTTTGAAAAATATAAACTTTATTTTATCAATTTTCTATTAAGTTTTTATACTAATGGGTTTTTATTTAAAAACAAGGTTAATTTAATAGAATTGTCTATCATTCATTTTATATATTTTATTTTAGTTATATGTGCTGATGGAAACTATTACAAGTTTGTTTTCAACCAAAAAGGAGAATGTTGGAGAGATATTTGTGCACAGTTTCTAGAAATGACAGATGACAATAGTATTAGTTGATAATTAACTGTTGTAATGTATATATTCCAGTTTTTAGAAAATCTGGATATGATATTCCATATCATACAATTTATAGTATTGTTTACTTTTTTATTTATTTTTAAACTCATCAACAATATATAATATACAAAAAATAATATGAAATGGTTTTTATCAATATATTGGTGCTATTGAAAATATTTCCTATATATATCTATATATATATATTTTTTTATAGTTATTTAAATTTATTTAATAATAGAACTGTTAATGTAGATTGTCTTTGTTTTTCCAATTGTAGCTAACTCTATGACAATTTTTTTAATTACATATATAATTTGTATAAAAATCATTTATTTTCATATAACTATACAATTTATATTATGAAATACATAATATATTTTACATATATACAGTCATATTTGATGAGGCTTAATCGTAATGGTAAAGTATTTGTGCATAATTTTAGCAAATAAAAAAAAACAAAGATATCATTTCAAATTTTAAAATAAAGCAAATGACTGATCAATAATAATAGATTAAGTGATAAAAATTAATAAATCATCAAAATACAATAATTTTATAAGGAAGGTCATGGTACATTACATAACTTTATAACTATATTAGCATGATACTTAAAAGTATATAAAAGTTAAAAAACCTTCATTTTTTTTAAATTAAATTAAAAACAACTATAGCATAAAAAATATATTCAAGCATTCACATTATTAAAAATTAGTTATATCATTAAAATAAAATATATTTATTACAAAAATAATTGTTTTGTTGCGAATTTTGTATTTTTCCTTACAAAAAGTTTAAGTTAAATTTTTGATTTTATAAAACAATTTTTTTTTGTGCATAAAAAAAACAAATCAGTACAAACAATATACTTGTCTTGAATAACATTGTTGTAACAAGTGTAAAAAATAAACATAGATTCTTTTTTAAACTAAAATAAATGATAAAAATATATTTTCAATAAAATTTAACTTAAGTTATAGAGAGCAAAATTAAACAAAATTTTATTAATATTATCACAAAAGTTTAGATTGCAATTTTTTTTTTAATACTAGGATTGAAAAGTTATATTTACATTTATTATCAAACAATATGAATTTATTTTACTTCAGTATCAATCTCAACAATTTTCCTTCGAATTAGCTTCAAATTATTACACAGGTACTACTTTATTATTAATTTTTTGGTATTATTATGTAAAAAATTATTGCATAATGACTGTAAATAAATAGCACTAAATACAAATGACCAAGTATTTTTGAAAATAGTATACAGATAACTATCTAAATTGATTATGAATAAAATTACAAATCCAAGTTTAATTAAATAATGAAAAAAAATTATTATATTTAAGTCATCATACATAACATAAAAAAAAGAATAAATTTTTAAATAAAAACATCATAACATATTTTTGTATGCAATATTAATGGCACCATGACTAGTTGGTAAAATAATTTTTTTTAAATGTAACAATAATATTTTTATATTTTTAAGTATACAAAACAATACTTTACAATAAAGTAAATTTCATGGATCATTTAATAAACTGAACTCTACTTGTATAGTGTAATTAAAAGCAATTAAAAGTAAATTTTTGACGCTAGAAATATTTTTATCAGGATATAACAACTAAATTTACAATAATCAAACAAAGCTTTTTGAAAAATAAAATATGTCACTATTTGGATACTTTTTATTGCACGGCTAATACTAACAATAAATAAACTTCCAAAAAATTAAATAATATTGTATTCAAAGAAAAAGTATTTAAATTAAACAAGAGAGATCATTGTCCTAAAGATGTATGATTTAATTATACTAATTTATATTCCAGTATATGCATGAATAAAAAAAAAGTAGTGTACAATTCAACTATGAAGTATAGCCAAAATATGGGGGATAATAAAATAGTTAAAATGTTGAATTAATTATTATACAACATATAGATCTGAGTAACTAGTAATAATAATTGATTCAAAATATTCATAACATGGTGTATGGTTATTATAATTTTACTTATAAATATTTAAATATCTTGACTATAATATATTATAAAACAATTACTTCTAAAATAAAAAAATAGGCAGGGATATACTTAAGTTTATATAGATAAAAATTAAATTTAGGTAAAATAATAAGGACTTAAGTTTGTGTAAACTATAAAAGCTCAATCAATAATTAAACTTAACAAATTATATATTTTTTAAAATAGATATGTATACTATGTGGTAATATCTTTGCTGTGTATAACTGTAGGTTCATCTTTACAAAAAGTACCTGATCTAGATCCTATAGTTGGGTGACCATTTGGTAAAGTTTTAGTTTTAGGAGGAATTACTTGTTTTTTAATCTTATTAATAGATTTTTCACATGTTACTTTCCTATTCACAACGTTAATGTGACTAGCAGATTTTCGTGTTATTTTAGGTGAGTTTTTAGATGAAATAATTGATGTTCGAGAATTAGGAATAGGTTCAGTTTTTGGTACTAACATCTTTGGTTTGTTTTTTGGGGTTGATAATGATAATTCTGAAGGCGTTTTTGTTTTCAATCCACATTCTACACGATTGGAAGATACTTTAACACCAGATGTATTATTTCTTACACAAGGTGATGAAGTTAATGATATTGATGAATTCATACGGAAGCCACGAGGCAAATCTTTATGGATTGTCAACATTTTTTGAGTTGCAGGAGAAGAATATTGTTGTTTTGGTTCCATGTATCTAGATTTCACCTAGATGAAAATTAAAAGTTAAAATGATAAGCTTTTAAATATTTTATTTATTTTATATACCTCAGCAAATTTTTGAACAGATTTTGTAAATTTTGGAGTTGATACATTTTCAGTAAGTTTTAATTTAGGTTTAACTTCTGGAGTTTTATTAACTATTTTAGAATTAGTAACTTTTTTTGTACTACTTGAAAGTGTAGTGTGATTGTTTGTCTGTTTATTATTTGGAATCACTTCTGTTTTTGAGATACCCAATTCAAGGGCAATAGACTTAGCCAGTGCATCAGACATACGGTGATCATTAGGCAGATTACCTATAACTTGTTTTTCACGGCCATTTTTGAAGTCAGTTGCTAAGCCTTTTACAATTAATTCCATAATAGCATTAACTAAAATTTCTCCTTGAGGATGCTACCAAAATAATAAAATAAAAATTTTTTACTTTTAATTACATATTACTCTTGAATTATTAGTTGTGTAATACTTTTTAGTTCATTTTTTATGCCTTGTAGGGTATCAACTATGTTTTTTTAAATCTTCTTTTTCTTCCTCGCCTTATCCCAACTACTTGTCACCTACTAAGGCCACCCTTATCCTAAACTTCCACTTGACACAATCTCCAACATCATCTACGCTCACATCAGATGTCCTCATATCGCATTCAATAACATCTCTCCATCTCTTTTTTGGTCTTCCTCTACCTCTTCTTCCTTCGACATTCATTTCTATAACTGTTCTTACAGCTTCCGATTCTTCTCTTATCATAACATGACTAAACCATCTAAGTCTATTTTCTCTCATCTTATCCACGATTGACGCTACATCTATACTCCCTTTTATATGCTCGTTCTTTATTCTATCTTTTCTAGTCACTCCACTCATCCATCTAAACATTCTCATCTCTGCTACACTCATTCTCTGTTCTACTTTCTTATCAACCGCCCAACACTCAGAACCATACATCATAGCTGACCTTATTACAGTCTTGTAGAATTTACCTTTCAGCCTTATTGGAATTCTTTTATCGCATGCTTCTCTCAATTTCAACCACCCGCACTTAATTTTGTGTCTTACATGTTTTTTAAATGGAAATATAATTAAAATTTTATAAATTAATAACTAGGCTTCGTTTAGATGGAGCTTCACCCCAGACCCAGGGCTCTACGAGTCTCATATGATGAAGACGTGTAAGCCTCTTTAGGCCATCTCTATAAGTAAGTTACTGATTTCGGTAAAAGTACTCGGCTACACCAGGCACGATAAGTGTTTTGCAAAAATAAAATAAAATATTACATCAGAATCATTAGTGTAACATAAAAATGAATCATTAAAATCAGGAAAATTCAAAAAGAGAAAATAGTAAAATGTATTGGGTTGACGTTTGTTTAATGGGGTATTCACCAAGGGTGTATTCAGAAATCATTATAGGAGTAGGGTGGTCCTAATTTTTTCGAATTTCAAAATTTCTTTCGGGACACCCCTCCATTTTTTTCTTTAGTATAAAAAAATAATATTCTGAAAATTTTAAATCATTTGGAAAAATTTAAATCGAGGCGCACAGCATTTTAAGGTTTTGACATCGAATTTTCGAAGAATATTATATAAAACGATAAAAAAAACTCATATTAGAGGTTTACAAGTGATTTTTTCAATAAAAGTCAAGATACAAAAAAAAAAACCTTATTTAAAGACAAATATTTTGATATATTATTTTTAAAAATTTAATGAATTTTTTACATGCGATAACAATACATTGGTAATTTAAAAATAATTAAACAGCTTAATTTTTATACTTCGTTACTTTAATAGTTTCAACGCTCCATTATAACCTTTTCAAATGTTTATACTGACTTGAATATAAATTAATTAAGTTATTAAGTTGAATTTTATAGCACTGAACTAGTATTAGTTGAAATAAATCATAAAAAATGAAATAAAATTTAAAAATAGCTTTAAATTAAAAAAAAAAATTTTTGCTCTACTAAATTTGTTTATCTTTAATTTTATATATCTTTTTGTTTTTTTTTTAAATTTAATTATTTTATTATTTATAGTATTTTTTTAGTACCACGAGTGACTTTTCTTTAAATCAATTTTAGTTTTATAATATTCAATCAACACATGACCATTTTCGCATTTAATCATAGACAAGATCGATAAATGTTTATCTTATCTTGTGTTGTATTAGTCTAAAATCTATAATTGTAGAGGTTTACCTATAACCATGATATGTTAAATGTAATATTTTAAAATTTTCATCATTCAAGTCGAATTTTATTCTATGTAGTACAGCAAGCTACTGGGTCAATCCATGCCAAATCATCCAGAAGTGGTTGCACGACCACCTCATATTTTGTTTAATTTTTCAGGGTTTATAAAGCATAAATGCTATAATTAGATTAAAACAATTTTTTTTTTTTATGACCTCCCGATTTTTATGGCTATTTCAATGTAAAAAATGTTAAAAATAGCCAGAACGTTAAATACACACAGATTATTCAATATTAACTCAATCGACTTAAAATTTTAGGATTGACCTTATTATAACTTAAAGTTAACATTAAAAATAAAAAAATAAAGATTTATGTGAAATTTCGAAAATTAGCGATTTTTAAATTTGTAATTTTTTTGGAGGTTTTCCCCATTTACGGGGAACAAGGGAAATATTTTCAATTTTTGATGGTAATGTCTTCGACTAGATACGATTTGTGATCTTTTGATGTATCGTTAAAAAAAATCCATTTGGTGAAAGCTGAGAAAAGTGGTAACAGACACAAAAAAAAAAAACACATCATAGTAAAATTAATAACTTCTCAGCTTTGCATCGAAGCTAAAATATCCACATTATAACCTATAAAACCTATACACAGTTCTCACAGAAAAGTTTATATGTAATAATTATAATATATAATAGTTACATTGTATTGTAATATATTACATACACAGTAATATAAAAAAAATTACAAAAACATGGTTTGAAAACAACAAAAAACTATCATTAAATTACAACGGATTTTTACTGATTTCCTAATGCTAAATTTTACATGTTAAACTTTTTTCTCAAACTTCAAATTTTTATGGTGTATTAAGCAGATATATAACTAAAAAACTAAAAAAAAAAATTTTTGAAATTAGGTTCCCCAACAGAGACAATGCACCTAGAATACGTGTCTTTTTATAAAATGTCTAACTTTGTAGACCTCTAAATCCCAAGAAAATTGTTTTAAATATTTGAAATTTAGTTGAAACATACATTATATACTATACAATACCACATTTGAAAATCACTATAAAATAATAACTTCTTAATGGTTTAGGTGAGCTCAAAAACGCCAATTTTCTCAAAAAAGGCATCATTTTTAGAAAGTCATTTAAGTTTGAAATTTCACATAAATTTTTTTTTTTTTATTTTTAACTTTAAGTTATAATCAGGTCAATCCTAAAATTTTAAGTCGATTGAGTTAATATTGAATAATCTGTGTGTTTTTTAACGTTCTGGCTATTTTTAACATTTTTTACATTGAAATAGCCATAAAAATCGGAAGGTCATAAAAAAAAAAAAAAAATNCTTCGAAAATTCGATGTCAAAACCTTAAAATGCTGTGCGCCTCAATTTAAATTTTTCCAAATGATTTAAAATTTTCAGAATATTATTTTTTTATACTAAAGAAAAAAATGGAGGGGTGTCCCGAATGAAATTTCGAAATTCGAAAAATAAGGACCACCCTACTCTTCATGCACGGTGGCATCATATGATACCACTAAATTGTATAATTTATATAAAANCATTTCATTTCATTTACTTTGGTAAACATGTTATAAAATAATTTAATTTTTGCTAAAAGATGTATACAACTATGAAACATTTATTGATAAAATATACAAAATATATTGCTATGTGCACATGCGAAATTGTATACTAATATACACACTGCATGGACATAAAAAAGAAAAATGTTCAAAGCGAATGAAGTATATTTGAACAATAAGTTGATTATTAAACATAAGTTCAAACAATTTAAAATGTATATATAACAATAAATTTGATTAAATATATCAAAAAATGTTTAATTATAAGAAATTTTAAAAGAAATGGATATAAAATAACTGGATATCCGAAAAAAAATTACAACAAAGGTAGTTAATAATTAACCCAATCAATATATGTATGAAAACTAATTTGTATTAAACATGAATTGAAGAGAAAAATTAAATTAATTTAAAATATCATTTTCTACAAATTAAGGGTCAAAATATACATATGCTCAAAAATAAGTCAATACTCTTATTTAAAATATGTAAGGAGCATTTTTCTTGAAAACGGTCAAAATTTTCAAACACTTGCTGGCGATTGCCAAAGATTTTCAGACATTTGCTAATAAATTTCCTGGAGTCTTGTGAATAAGTACTTTTGTATATAAAAAAAAAAAAAAATGAAAATCGGAACACGTTAAGTAATTTTCCCAAAAAAGCATTATTTTTATTGTTCTATTGTATAATATGATGATTTATCATTTTTATTTTATAGCGTTAAGATATTTTACTTAATTTGTTTATCAGTTATAACATTTTAAGTTTCAATTTTTGGAGTTAAAATATATGTATAACATTTGAAGAATTACAAATATAGGTAGCTAATTGCCTCTTTATGACATCACTACTCAGAGATACGCAGCAGTTATTGCCATTTATGGCACTTTTGAGTGATAACATCAAGGTAGTTCTAAACATAGATAATAGAAGAAGGGATTGTCTGTTCTTATACTAACAATACAATAAGTTATCAGAATGGAGAAAAAAGGTAGAATTTTACTATAGTGTTCTCATTTTAAAAAGGAGACTTATCATGAATTTTATAATACAATAAATGGATCCCTTGTTTAAATGTTTGTTTGTGTTTGAAAAACCTCCACAATTTTATAATATCTATTATTTAAAGAAACAATATTGCAACTTAAGGTTTAAAAGTAAACATTTATGAATTGAGCATCATAAACGAATTTCCATTGACTAACATTTAATATAATCCCTTGTATATTATACATGAATCTTAATTCAATAGTTCAAAATACTTAAATGTATTTTAAGTGTTATATCTAATAAACAGACGAAGTTATATTAAAAATTCAAAGGCCATTTACTAATAAAAAAACATTCTACTAAATGCAAAATATATGTTCCTTAAAGGAAACAAAGTTGAAACCCATACAAGGTACAAGGGATAAACTTAAAAGTATTACATAGCAAATAGATCAAGAATATGTAAATTAAAGTAACCAATAAAAAAAAATTCAAACTATTTATATTATATGACTAATTGAATGATTTGTGATAAATGGATCACTCTATATTTTGACTAATATATATATATTTTGTTTATTTACTTTGAAATACCTACCCAGAAATTATTCGATAATGATTTGCTTAAATGATCATATACTTGTCTAATTTGATTTCTGTTTGCACAATTACATGATGCTAATAAATGGGTAGCAAAACTATCAGTAAACAAATTTTCATTTTCCAATATTTGTTTGAAACTAAAAGAGATCAGAGTTAAGTAACCAAAAAATATAACAACTAAATAACTTACTATTTTGATGTAATAGTGTCATAGAAATTTTTGGCTAAATATTTTATTACGCTATTTGAGAGATCTGTAGTTAAATCTATTAATTCCTTAGCCCACTCATCATTAGGAACAGTTCTTTTAATTATTTCACAGCCAATAGTTATACTCAATACATCATTTATATCCTATAAATTTTAATAACATATTTATTACTACAAAAATTATTTTCTTAAAGTTTGAAATAATTACATCAATATGGGCTACTTTATGTTTAAAGCACTTTGCTTTTAGATCTTGTGGCAATGCCACAAAATACTTTGTTGGCCATACAACAGAAAAGTTGTCATTAATCCAAACTATACATGATAAATAAAGATCATCCAGTCCATAAGCAACACTTAATGTAAGACATTCCAAAATACCAATAGTACAACGATCACATACCTAATTATTCAACATTTATCAATTAATCAAATATTTTAGCAATCAATTTTCAAGTACTAACTTCTTTGAAAAAGTGGCAATATTCTGCTGCTAAGAACAACATAATGTTATCTTTTAGACCTTCAAGGCATAACATATCAGCTAACTTAGATAATTCAGAAACATTTTTTATTTCTGAAAAGTTGCATTCTCCACTGTAAATATATCTAAGAGTCAGATGAACAGTTTTATAAGAATATCTGAAAAATATTAAAAATGATTAATATATAATTAAAAAATAATAATTTTTAATGAATTTTACCCTTTTAAATATAATACATTTCCAGCACTCTGTACCCATCCACCACTAAACATAGCTGCAAAATATTGACATCTTGATGTCAATACACATTTATGAGCTCTAATTCGCCTTCCATTAACATCAATTGTTGTATCTGCTCCTATTTCTTCTAAAAACATTTTAAGTAAATCTTGACCAAGGCCAGATTTTACTTCTTCAATAGAATCAAGTGCCTCGGGTGATTTAGATTGTAATATTTTTTCAATTTCAACGCTCTTTAAATATGGAAACATTCTTTTTAAGCATTTAGCTAATTCTGTATTTTTTAAATTTTTTTTCAAAGTGTCTATTTTGGGTTCAGTTCTAGTAAGGTTATTGATAACTTCCTGAGAAGGAGCTTTATCCATATCAGACAAACGTACAAATGAATCTTGAGTAACAGAATGGTTAATCCTTTGATTTATTCTATTAGTAGTAACTTTAACATTACTTTTAATACTATTAAACATCTCACTTGGAATATTATCATTTTCTTTAGTGCTGGTTTCAATATGACTTTTTGTCATTCTAAAGTCTAATTTCCCATCTTCAGATAAATTAACACTATGAGTTCTTAGATGTGTTTTATGAGTAATAGTACTATCAACATTCCATGAATTACGTTGTGATTTAAGTCTAGAACTCTGAGGTAACGATCTACGTTTGACAACTGCTGAAGAATCATTTTCAATAAACATGAAAACACTTTGTTTTTTACATGATTCAGTAATATCAACAGACGAACTTTCAACAGTAGATGTCATTCGACTTGGAGGAGGAGTAACTGTATTATCAGGTCCCTTTGTTTTGGGTAAAGGTTCTTCACTATGCATACGTACAAATCGATCAGCTATAGTTTGTGGTTTACGATAAATAATGTTTTTAGAAGATAACTCACTGGATTCTGAATCTTTATTAAAATCAAAAAACATTGAAAACATTTTCTCTTTATTAGAAACCATGGTACTAGTATCCACGGATTTTGTTACATTTTCAAAATGTTTTGGTTTGTTCTTTGGTTTTTCTGAATTAAAATCAATAAAAAATGAACTTGAGTTTTTTCTTTCCCCTTTATTGACATTTTCCTTATCCAGATTTTCATCAGATATAAAAGCATTAGCAGATATTACTGGAGAGCATTCCATATATTTTCTAGAAGGTCTAGGACTTCTACTATCTTTATTAGATTCTACTCCTAGAGGTACAAATTCCAACTTGTTAGAAACTGTAGGCTTATGATCTTTTCCAAAAATATCATTATTTAATGAACCTGGGGAACTTGGTTCTTTAAAAAATTTAGAAATATTTAAATTTGAATTGTTTTTTGGAGAATCATCCAAAAAATTCAATGTAGTACTATGTACAATAGAATTATTTTCTACATCATTTCCTAAAGATACATTATGGGTATTTAAACATTTTTGTTCACTACAAAAAAATAAATCATCTGTTGTCATTGAAATTTTTCTACTGGCCTTTAGTTGAACTGTATCACTTAAATTAAAGTTATTTACCTCTGAATTAGATTGTCTAAGCGAATCTTTAGGAGAAATATCACTTTTAAAATATTTTACATCTAAATCGGGTAAGCTATTTTTATTAGTAGTAATATTTTCTTCATCAATTTTGACTTGTTTAATATTATTACTTAATGATGTGATATGTTTTAATGCTTCAAATGTTTTTTCATTAGAATCAAAATCATTATTATATTTATGTGGTGATTCATCAATTACAAACTTTGAGTTAAAACTAGATTGAGAATTTTCAACTTTATTTGGAACTAATAATGGATTATTTCTATCAATAACAGTAAATGTTTTATAATCAGATGATACTTCAAATTCTAATAAATCATTACTTAATGTTTCATCATTATGTTTTATAATAGTAAATGTTTGGAAATCTAATGGCTCTTTAATTATTGCATTATCTTCTTTATTATTATTCAGTGTTAGAACTTCATTGTTCCCTATTACAGCATCCTTATTCTCCTCAGCCTCCTCTTGTTTAACAGTATGCATTTCAAAATTACACAGTAGTGACACATCTAAATTACCATCATAAAGTTTAGGAGAAATATCAATAGAATGCTTTTCACTAGGTGTGTTTTCAGTACTTGTTATGTTTATTTGTTCATTTAATAAATTGGATACATAGTTTTCATTAATATATTTTTCTTTTTCTACGTCTAAATGTATATCCTTGTTTACTGTACTTTCAACTGATGAATTTAATTTATTTTTTGGATTTTTTATAATACAGCTAGGAGAATTTTCTGATGTATTACAAGCTGTGGAGTTGCCGCAAAGAGGAATACTAGCATTATTTAAAGTGTTAACTTCAGATTTATTTTTAAGATTGGCACTTAATTTAACTCCATCTTCTAAACTTGATACATCAATAATACAATCTGTTACACAGTCTTCTAAAAAATTATCCGATTTAACAACTAGAGCATCGGGACATTTGTTAACCACAATTGATTGAGATTCATTTAAAAATGTTTTAGATGATGTACTTGAATCAAAATTCATGTTGTGTTTAGGATGGTTATCAATAATGGCCTGATTTATAATAACAGATTCAATGTCATCACATGGAGACTGTTCTAAATCACTAAATTCATTTGATGAAAAATCATTAATATGAGATAGGGAATAATATAATGGATTTATATCACACGATATATTTTTTCGTTTGTATGTATCAATTGATGTAAGAAGATTATTTCTATTAAAGTATGCCTTAATTAATCCAATTAGCTTTTTTTCAGCACAAGTGACTTCTTTTTCAGTGTATACAGTTCTGAAAAAATAAAATGATCCAAGTCAAAATTTTCATAGTGATAGAAATATTAGTCATAAATACTTTAATAAAAATCGTTCTGTAATGTAAGTTAAGATACTAGGATATTAAGTAAATTCTTGTGCAGTGTTTCAGAATAACTAATTTAGATTGTAGGATAAGTCAAGAAATATGTTAGATATAATTAAAAAAATGGTATACAAAATAACGATTTAAAAATTAAAAATAAAATGTTTGAAGTGAAACTTCTTTATAGAAGGTCCAAAAAAAAACAGATAATTGAGCATCACTATCGGGCACGGTCGGCTGTAAAGTATATTTTATGTTATAATTTAGCACTGTATTTTCGAAAATTAAAAGTAATTTTATTTTAAATATATTAAATAATTTAATTTCAGATAATTTTGATTGTGCATAAAAAAATTTTAAAGAACCACAATAGATGCAATTATTACACAATAATTCATAATGAAAGAAGTTTCACTTCACATGCGCGTACTCATAACATGTTAAAAAATTTTTTTCTAACATTAAGTTTTTATTCTAAATTTTCAATTTAATTTTAATTCTAATATAATCATTATTTTATTGATTACATTGATTTAAAAGGATAATTTTCAATCTGAGATCAATAATAACTTAATACAGTAAAATAAGGCATGAAGCAGACATTATTGTTGTATTTTATAATTCAACACAAGCTACAACTTTAAAAAGGTTATTACAAGAATTAATAGTGTTACAGTGGTGGATTTGGGGGGTGGGGACAGAGGCATATGTCTCCCCATCAGTTTTCACTCAATTCATTTTTATAAAAGGTTATTATTCAAAAATAGATTTGTTTAATCTTTAAACTTTCAGACATTTGGTACATTATTGTGTATTCATCTTTTGTTTTAAATTTACAACTGCAGTCTTGAAGTTAGGATAGTACTCTTAACACTAAAGTATGCTTAATTATATAAGCAACCAAACTAAAGTACAATTTTCTTCAAAGTTTCAAGTTAAGAAATAGATTTTTCTAAAAACTGTTTTTTAGCTGATCAATAAAAAAATGATTGAGTTATTTAACTAAAACAAAAAGTAGGTTTAAAATGTTTTTTGATGTAAAATAAGTTTATCTTTACATTACTACAAGTATAAATTTAAATGAAAAGTACAGTAAATTAGAAATAATACTATAAAAAGCATAATGACGTGCATTGAATCTGATAAATTTACGGTTATAACTTATTTCTTACTTATTCTCACCTATATTTTAAAAATGTTAATATATATTATTACTTATAATTAAAATTGATAACAAGACTTAAAGTAAGGGAGGCACAAGAGGTCTCAGTCTCCTAACCTCTGGTTAACTAGCTAGCATTTTAAGATTTGCACTCTAATGAGGTACTCTAATAAGTTAACTATTAATAATTTTTCTTGGCACTAAAAGATTAACATCAATAATTGCTTCTATATATGAATTATTAATTTTAAAACATTCCCTAAACTAGTTAAGCATTTATCTAAATACAAGTTTCTATATTATAAATTATAATTAAAATTATGAACAATATGTTCATAATTTAATAAAAAAATTGTTAAAATAATTAATTTTATAAATGGGAAGAAACAAACTAAATAAATAAACTAAGATACTTTGCTATAAATAATGTTTTCTTCTAGTTAAAAATCAAAAATACTGACTATTCTGTAAAAAAAAAAACATATTTTACATGTTTAATTTTTAAAATATGGTAAAATAAATTAATAAACAAAACATTTAATATTTATTAAAAATAAATTTTTTTGAACTCATAAAAAAATGATCAACAATAAAGCCAATGTAAAATTTAGTATGTATGCACAATACAAAATGTCAATATTACATCATTACTATTACATATTATTTAAGTAATTTTTTATGAAATTAGGGATATTCATAGGACGAAGCTTGTCATCTAATTTCCTCACCTTAATCTCAACTACTTGGGGTCGGCCACCCTTATCGGGTGTCCGACGCTGTAAGAACGTAATGTTCCGATTCTTCTCTTATCATAACATGACCAAACCATCTAAGTCTATTTTCTATCAATTTATCTTGTCTCATTTCTTATTTTCTTATCTATTACCTTTTCTCAAATTTTCATACTATGACTCATAAGGTTTATGTCTCTATAATTTTCACACTCCTGTATGACTCCTTTACCTTTAAATATATTGGCATCCTAATACTATTCCTCCATTCATTTGGAATTTTCCCTTCTAGTAAGATTTTATTTAAAATTTCCTTTAACCATCTTATACCAACACTGCCTAATATTTTCCATACTTCTACTGGTACTTCATCTGGTCCTACTATTTCATTCTTTTTCATTGATGCCACAGCTTCTCATAACTCTTTTTCACTAATTAAATCTACAAGTTTCTTGTTTCTGAGTTATCCTCTAATGATTAGAGGATAACTCAGACATTAGAGTCTAATGTCTCTTTTGGATACTCCTCATTCAGTCATTTTTCAAAATACTCTTTCCACCTTTATTTCACATCATCATAGCTCGAGAGTATCTTATTATCAACAAATATATTATACACCATTTTCACTACTTGACTATTTTGAAAATTAAATAATCTAAATTTTAAGACATCAAAAGTAAAAAATGCCTTTACATTTTACTGAAGACTTTAATACTCTAGACCAATAAACTTAGGTTGTTAAAATAATGATACATAATACACAAATAAATTTAAAGCCAAAAAAAATACCCATACACATACAAGGTTATTAATCATTGAAATCCTAATAATTATCACTGTCATAAAAATTAATTGTAAGTAAATTATTTTTTGTAGATTTTTTGAGAATAAAATATCAAAAGTTTGATGCACAATATTTTAATTAAAAAAAAAATATTATCGAATTTGTTTATTTTTCTACATACTATAATTTTCCAGATCACTATAATTTTTATCAATGAGAAGGGTATGTAGCTTACTACCCTTCTCATTGTTAATTACCTACATAATGTAGGTAATTATTAAGGCTGGAAATTAGTAGCATTTTCATATATCATAGACTCAGATATACATTTTTTGACAATTTCAGTAAACAATTATTTTAATTAAATTTTTGAACAAATTATTTGTTTTTTGCTATGTGTTAAAATGTGTCTACCTTGACATATTTTGATAAATTAAAATTATTTCATTATAAATATAATTTTTACTGATAATATTATTTTGGTTAAATTATATGTAGTTAAATAATATTGAAAAAATTCCTAGATTTCCTAACTAAAATAAAAACTAAAATATCTCAATTATATCAGAAAAATAAAAGGTTTCAAGTAATGGAACAAATTGGACTAATTATATCAGGTAACAATGAAATAAAACTTCAACCCTAGTTCTGTGGCCAATATGAAGTATGCACCAATGAAATCAGTAGATGTGGAAAGATCGTTTAGTCTTTATAAACATATACTATGTGATAGAAGAAGAAGTGTGACACCTGAGCACATGGAAAAATATATTATTGTCAATTCTTTTTATAAAAGTAAAAGTTATACATTGTAACAAAATATTTTTTATTAATAACTAAATTATGATTTTATTGGTTTAAATTTTTTTTTATACAATTTATTTTGTATTTTTAACATACATATTTACCAAAGAAATGGTAAAAGAGGATTTAATACATATTTATTTCTTTTATTTATTGAATATATTTTTAAATATTTATTGTCTTTAATTAACGTTTTAAGTAGATGATATAATTAAAAATTTAAGTTTATCTAATTAAGTCGAATTATTTATAGAAGAAATTAAAAAAACAATTAAATTCATATTTTTGCATATTATTAAAAAAATAAGAGCATATCTAATACATATTTTAAAGTTTTTAGATGCATAAATGCATACTATTTTAGGCTTTTTGAGTGCGTATAAATCCGGGCTCTACATGATATTTTCATTTATTCCTTGATAAAAGAATCAAGCTGAAATAAGTGATCATTATACACTTTAAAAATAATTAAAATTTTAATATATTATAAAATTTTATAAAGTTTTAAAAAAGCATCAATGATTTTTATCTTATCAAAATAGCAATAAAAAAAAAAATGATCAAAGATATACTCAATTCTAGTAAAAAAAATGTTTAGAACTAAAATTATTTATAATTTATTTGAATAAATAATTTGTTTATAATATAAGACTAGTTATTAATTAAAAGGAACCTATAGAAAATTTTTCCCCATATAGTTTTAATGCATTATTTTTAAATTGTTTATTCGCATAAGGGGTATGTCCAAGAAAATATATTAAATATAAAAAAAATTTATTTACATATTTTGGGTGCATATTCATAATTAGCATATAGTTAATTAATTTGAATAATTGAAGCATATTACTTCAAATAAAATCAGTAAAATAATTTTAGATAATGCACATTTTTTATTTTTAAAAGTATGCAAGCTTTTAAAGTATGTTATCAGAAAACTACAGAATAAAGAAAATTGTACTATACTAAAAATTCTTACAACTAAATTACTAAAAATTGTTTTACCTTAATTAAATTTACATTTTTCTATGCTTATCTATATAGAGTGTTCAGAAAGTAAGGAAATGGATTTCTATTGTTCTCGTATTTGTAACAATTGACCCATTTCCTTACTTTTTTAACATTTGTATATATTTTAGTATGTCAACATATAACCATTAATTATAATTTTCATATCAATTATAATAAAATAACTTTATAAATTCAAAAAAAAATTGGAAAAGACAAATAATTCCCTTTTAAAAAATTACTTAACAAAAATTGTATCTTAAGATCATTATTACAAAAATTATATTTAACTATTTTATGACTGTTAATTCAACTAAATAATTAATAATTAATCTAATTGTATGAATAATCAAATGATATTTATAATAATATTGTCACAACTGGATAGATTTAACATAAAGAGAGTTAAGTCAGTTATGGATGTTAATTATCAAAATGTACATTCCTTTAAAGACTTTCTCTACTATTTTTAGAAACTATTATTAAATGTTGGGAAATATAAATGGTCTGTATTATCATCAAAATTTGCCAAATGATACAGAAAAAAATGTTCCTAATTTCACAATTTAAATCTTACCAGAAATTTTATAATTAAATTTTATCATTTAAAATTGATCACAATTTATTACCAGCCATGCTTATTTTTTATGTCTTAATTCTTATCCTTTTTGTACTATTTACAATGAGTAATATTTAGTCAACTTTTCTTATTATCTCTTAACTATCAATTACTCTCTAAAAATAGAGCTGTGTTAATTACTTCTTAAGTTTTTCATAATATTTAATTCTCTTTTCAGTATCGTTCAATAGTATCAATCTATCATAGTTATTTATTTTATTGTATCTTTTCTACAGAAGGCAAATATTATCATTTAAATGAATCTATTTAGTAATTAGTATTTATAATAGTTGAGGTGTAATATTTGTAAAATAAAATCTCAATAAATTAAAAAAACAAGAACCTAACAATTTCCAACTAAAAATATTAATGTATCAAATCAATAAAGCCTAAATACATTAATCATTGTATTTATGTAAATTGACTTAGCATGGAAACTATAAAAAATAAATTATTAAGTTTTTGGTTCAGTGGAGATAAACTAAGTAAAACTAATATTAAATATTTTCTTCTAAAATCTCGTACACTTTTTAAGATAATATTAAATATTTTTTAAAATAAATTCCTATGAAAAAGGTAATTCTAATTAAAGGTGTTTCTTTTAAAATTTAAAATGAAAATAAGATAACTATAAAAAAAAGAAATAGAAATATAATTGTCCCATTTACTATAGATTAAAATACTCACTTAATGAAATTTGATAAACATTCTAATAAATGAACTGGTAGATTTCTAACATCAAATTGTTTTAATATTTCATAGTAAAGTCTAGGACAACGACATTTTAATATACATGTATTTGCTCCAATAACAATTCCTTTAGATTTTATGCAAATGTCCCAACCATCTGTGTCTGATAATAATCTTTAAAAATGTATTCAAATCAATAAAAACAATAATGTAAACATAATTTAAATAATAATTACTAACAGAAATATATCTTGATGTAACTTATATAGATCTGTTTTTCTCTGTATCAAGCTTATCCTTTTGTACCAATTATTTATAGAATGATCAATATCCATTAGTTATCATTGTTAACTAAACAAAAATTTAAAATTGTACTTTTAACTTTAAATAATTAAAAAATAATAATTATAAATAACTTACATATAACATTGATTTTTTTTTTTTAAATTAAAATAGTTGTTCAAGTGTAGTCGAGTAGTTAGAAAAACAATAACTATTAATTACATGAAAGGACGAACTGTAATTTGTGTAGAATATCATACGTCTATTTGTGATATTGTCGTCAGAAAAATTCGTGATTTGAATTTTTTATGGAACTTCAAAATATTATTCAATATGCTGTGACTATCAATCTTTTTATTAACCCATTCGTTTGAAAAGTGCCTCTGTCCATCCACTATGACAATGAATTAAATAGGAAGTTGGACTAATGTTTTTCGGAAATTGAAAATTCACACTATAGTTAAACTTTACAAATTTCAATGAAAACGAAATAAAATTACTTAGCTCCGTAAACATTAAAATCAATACGCTATCATTGGGGAAAGTCCATTTTATCAGTGGTATTAAGTAAACTCTTTCTGGAACGCGTTACATGATATTATCTACAGGTGGCGCCAGGTAAACATTGATACTATGGATTAAATACACATAGATAGGCCAATCGGACTATTGACAACCGAATTTTTGTTAATTGATAACTGGAGAGATAGCGTTATATACTCTCTCGAAAAATATTCAAAATTTAATAATAACAATCGATTTTGTTGTTACTAATTTTATAATGGTTTTATACTAAAACAATAGCCAATAACGTCCAAAAATAGCATTTTTTAATATTAGTAAGAACTGTTTTTATTTTATAGAAGAAATGTGTTAACAATACAAATGCATATAATTCTAGGTCTGACAGACTAGTTGTTTTCTCTGATGCAATTCTAGATTTAACAATTAATAAAAAAATGATAAACTTATCATATTTTTTTATTTTCAAGTATATGTAAATTGCATAATATATTATTTACAAAATAGACTTGTTTTATTTTTCATTGATTATTATTATTATTATAAGATTAATAAGATTTTAAATGTAATAAAATAAAATTAGTATTAACTTTATTTTATTCCTAATTCGTTGTCATTGACTTACCGTCGCCGTGGCAAATTATTTATTTTAATATTTAAAAAATTTATTTGATATATCAAATGGTTTTTATTTCTATTCAAAATATATGATTCCATGTTAACAGAATCTGTTGATATGGAGTTGACTGTACTCGGGCATTTCGAATATGTACACTAAATATTATTTTTAATTTAAAGACTAAGGGTCCTATTTGTATTTATTTTTTATATAGCTATTTTATAGTTATTCATACAAATAAGTTTTGGTTATTTAGAACTTATTGTTTGTTTGTGTAAGTAATAACTTACATAGACAAACGCAAAAATGTATGCAAAAACTATGTACTAGCAACAAAAATAATTTTTTATCGATATAAAATATATCGGAGTAATTTTAGATAGAGACAATTAATTCGAGTGACACTTAATTTTGTTGCACAAAGTAGTGGTGTTATCAAGGTATTTTTCTAAGGAGGATGTTCATCAAAAACACTTTCAAACTAAAAAAAAAAAATGTATCTCCATTGTTGAGTATTTTTTGTTCTAAGAGATTTATTCAGTTTTCCTCCTAAATTTCATTCCTGGCAATAAGTAATCATTCTTGAAATGTGTATTTTTATTAAATAATAAACAATAATAGAATTAAAAAAAATTATTTTAATTTATATTTGTATAAAAATATTGCACTTACATTCAATAGGTTGATAAATTTACTTAATATAAAAAATTATTAGAATAGAGATGTACATGTAAAAATATTAATACTACAACGTTTATATCTTAATACAATTAATAATTATGAAAAATTAATAGTATATAAATTAAATAATATTTAAAACTTTACAGATTTAAATTTTTAGAGTAATGAGATGATAAAACATACTTAGATAAACGGTAACTAACTCATAATAAAAAATTTCTTATGCAATATTTATACTTTCTGCTTTAAACAATTCTAGTAAAAATTATTATTATTATTATCACTAATTACTATTATTTCATGAACTATTATTGAATTAATAATAAATTATACATTTTACGACTTAATACGTTTACAAAATATTTATTGATATTAATTTGTGAATTTTTATTCATATTACAATCCTGAAATATTATTTTTAAATGAATACAATAATACATGTACATAGGATTTTTTCATATACTCTTACTAGCGCCATAGTCATATATTGTTAATAGATATAATGGATCATTGAAGAGGGATATGGCTCTTTTATCCCCCCTTTGGGTACGCTACTGTAACAAACTAATATTTAATACGTTTTACTTAACATATATAATAATAATCAGTCTAATATAATCCCGACGGGAAATCTGTAAGTTTTCCTGTAGACAATGACATGTTTACATGACGAAGTTCATTCAAACTGTTTAAACTACTATTTGAGCCCGATTGGTGTTTTGGGTTAATTCCTTTGACATCTCTATATCCGGAATATAGTCCAGCATTATTATGACCTCTTGCCATGAGAGTTCTATGTTGGTCTCTAGTGTTTTTACAACCTGACGGGAAGTAGACAGCTCGTTCAGGTTTACTTTGGTCAAATTTTAGCATAGGTAATCGAGACTCATTGATATTCTTTGTACTGGCCGATCTCATTACTTGCCTATTAAGTTGTATTTTTTTTTGTTCAATTGTACTAAAAATATCATAAATGGATTTTCTATGGTTTTCTTCTTTTTTTTCATTTTCTTCTTGTTTTTTTTGTAAAGCTATATCAGAAAATCGCTTTATATGTTTCTGAACTGAATGAAAAGTCTCGCTTCTTTTAACTTTAGACTTTTCAATGTCAATTTCGTTTTCGTTGTAAAGACATACAGAATCCATGCTTTCTTCGTCATCTTCAAAAAATGGGTTGACTTCAAAATTCTTGTTAATAAACAAACTTCTGGACCTTCTTGGAGGTTCGGGAATAATTTTGGCAGGAATAATAACCGCATCTTCTGTATACAATGGTGAATAATCGTAGGACTGTTTTGAATCACTGCTGATTGAAGAATTTTGTCGTTCATTCGAATCAGTTGATGCATCGTTAATAACTTTATCAAAAGTTTCTAAAACTTCTTCTATTGTTGGATCATCCTGCGATATATCGTACATCTTGTAGGGCATTTTTAATTTTTTAGATGTAACTTCTTCCTCACAATCATCTTGTTCCGATGAACTAATTCCTTCATCTTCAGCAGAGTTTCCACAACCTTCAATTTTATTTTTGTGGGTTTTATCAGTAATTTCTTTACGAGAAGAAACAACGCGTTTCTCATCTTGTAGAAGCTATTAAAATTAAATTATAATCATTAACGCTATGTAAAAATTGAAAATTTTCTATGGACTTACGTGAAGTTTCTTTTCTAATATGGAAACTCTTTCTCTAAGAGTTTTAGCTTCTCTAACAACTTCATCATGCTGTCTTTTTAGTGACTCTACGTTGATGAAATTTTTCTGCCACTTGTATATTTCCTCTGAAACTAAGCTTAGAAGTGGTGATTTGTTTGAAATATTCTAAAAAAAGGAAAATCAATTTGTTTTTTAACTGTTTAATGTTTTATAAATTAATACGTTATAATTATCTTTTATTTCTCATACTTTTAGTATACCAGCTGGTTTAAAACCAGCTTGTTTGAGTTCTGCCTGAATATAAAACCTTGTCTGAAGGTCGGGACAAGTCTCTGTAAAAGCATTAATGAACTTTAATCCAGCCAATAGTAATTCCATACCAGAATTTCCATTTCCTGACATCATTCCTACTAAAAATCTGAATCGTACAGGCTCAGCAAATCGCAAACGCATTGTGCTCATTGCATCTGATACTGTAATATGCCCATCAACTGTTCCCGAATCACAACATGCTGTTGTTAATAACTGAAAAATATTTCTAATTTAATAACCACCTTAAGATTTTTTTAACTTAAAAAGTTTTAATTACCTCTAATGTTATTAAACGAGATTGGTTAATTGTACTCATGATACATGCAGCTAATGTGTAAAGTCCAGCAGAAGATATAGCCAATTTTCTAGCCGCATCTTGACAGCGTAGGCAATACTTAAGACACTGAAGACATGCATTTTCATCTAATGTGATACGGCGTTGGTTTGCTGGTGTACTCTTTGTTTGAGATCCGCTCTGTTGAATAGTTTTGAGAAGTTCTAGTAATAATGTTATTCCATCTATTGGATCTCCAACAAATTCTTGAACAAAGCTGAAATGATAGTGTTTTAATAATGCTTCATAAAAAGTATTTATTTTTAAAAGTTTTATTAACTAAAATAACAGTACAAAATATATATAGAAAAAGTTGTAACATAGAAATATTATTCATTTATTAAATAAAACGATACCTCAACATTTTATAGTACATTGATTTTATTAAGATCAATATTTGTAATTTAGGTTTATCTCATTCCTATTAAATGTCAAATATTGGGTTTTAGTTAATTATTACTACATTAGTAATAATTAACTAAAACCACATTTCCAACTGAATGTAATTGTCTTATTTAATGAAAAATTTAATTTTTGAGAAATAATTATATTACTTATTCTCTTTTCCACTCAATATAATTAAATATTATGATATTCAAAATTAAAACATATCAGCTATAAGTGATTAATTCTTATTAAATAATTATGATATTGAATTGTATAATGACTAAATCAATACTTTTGTATTAATTATTTTGTTATTTTGAATAAGAAGACTGGGGTTAAATTATTTTTATTTATTTTTTTTTTTTTATTAAAGCTTACTCAATACTAACTTGACTCTCACCCCATTAATGAGTAAGAATACGGTTCTATTTTTCATTTTATTTTAGTTCATTGCATAAATAAAGTTCAAATCTCACTATTATTATTTAAATTTTATTGTTTATTTTTGTTCAATATTCTGTCTAGCTAAAATAAAAATAATGGTTATATATGACTGCTATATACTTCAAGTTGTATGCATTAGAAAGTAAATTGCGTACTTTGATTTCAGGTAACTCTGTCTTGTTAAAAATATGTATTTATAAGAAAATGATTAATTTTATCAATACCTTATAATTATTAATAATTATAAAGTATTATAAAGGTTATTATAATATAAGTATTAATAATTTCACTTGATTACCCATTTATATAGCACTAATTATAATTAGGTTCATTACAATAAAAATATAAATTGTTTAAAAAGTCGCACCATGTTCTGATATCTTTAATAAATATTGCTCAGGTGAATGTTTAGCTTTACATTTTTAACAAAAAAAGTACTGACGAAGTGCACATACACCAATACAAGCTGTACCCATACATTCTCTATTTAGTAATATTTTTATAACTCAATAAGTGTTCTTCTTAAAATTGATATAGTCCCATACATATTTTTCGTAAGAAAATGGCTATTTAGAAATTAAAAAAAAACTTCAAAATTTATTTTTATTTTTTCCTTGATAAAGATAAAATATACTTTTAACATAGTTCAAATACTAAATAAATCAAATTCAACTCTATGCGTTACATGATTTACCTGAAATATGCCAATTTTAAATCAGTTTTGAGTTTGTCTAGAAGTTCAGTAGCTGATGAAAATTCTTTTAATGTCATTTCTTTTGACTTCAAAGAATCTTCGTTTTTAGAGTCCGGTGTTGAACTCCTTTTACCGAATTTCCGCAAAGACGCTGCATAATCTTCAGGGTTGTATACAGGAGGTCTTGGTTGGTCCTGAAAAAGAATAAAAAACTTTCTTACTTTTCAGTATGGTGTATAACTACTTGCTTTGAAATTTTCTTAAACTAACTTGGCAATTTATAACCCAGTTCAAATCAATAATTATACTTGGTAAAATTTACGATGAATTTATTTATAATGCAATCCTTACTTTTAAAAACCGTAATACCCATGCATGGGATACTCGAGATAAACTTAATTTTTCTTGATCACACCACCTGCAAGACTTCATGTTTCAAACTCTAACACGCGACTACAAACAGTGTATTATTTCGTTTTATAAGTTTAAAAGATTATCATAATATGGATTCACTAAAAGACAAAAAGCACTAATTTCACTTTTCCACTTCTAATTAATAAAGTTAACAGTATTAAGGTTCCTCTCCATAACGGGATTATGTGATTAACCAACTTAATCCCACGATAGAAACTAGAGTCGAAATCTCTGTTAAAGTAATTACTTTGTTAAAATAAAACAAAAAAAGAATGCCTATGTAAATTGTTGGCATGGGATATTCTCACGCACCTCATTTCCTCTTGTTCTGTTACCTAACATCACAACTAGATTTTACCGCTTGCATCAATTTTGATTTAACATAGTTTTATAATGTGTATTGTTTTCTTATTTTAAATATACTTTATACTATAATTTATGAATAATATATTAGCCTATTGCATACTAGAATATAATATAGACAAGATAGAGAAAAAGCATGAACAAAACGTCTATATAACTACTAATGAATTTTAAGTAGGGCCTTCAACTAGAAGTTGCGGATAATAAGGTCTATGAATATATTGAAGTTTTTGTGGATTGTCGTATTGTTTGAAATGTTTACAGTTGTACCCACGTTTTCAGTTATGAGCTTACATTGGTACCAGTAAGAGATACACTGAAAATTATAAAAAACAAAAAGTGGCTAGATGGAAAACTTCAAGGCCTACTGGAAATATGCAGCAAGGCAATAGATTTCACCCATCAAGACACAACCTATGAACAAATTAATGGTATGGCAATGGGTTAAGACTAGCATTAGTATTTGCCAACATCATCATGGAATGGTTTGAAGAAGAAACAATGAGCACATATACTCAAAAACCCAAAATGTGGTAAATATGTCGCCTACAACGTAGACGACATATTTTTTTATGGTAACACAGCGTTGATTAACTAAAATGTTTCTTGAAACATTTAAACAACATACATGCCAACATTAAGTTCACAATGGAAATCGAGAAAAATTAATAATTGCCGTTCTTGGATGTACTGGTCAAAAAACAGTCCATTGGAAAATTTGGCACGAGAGTGTACAGGAAAACTACACATACTGACAGATATTTACATGCCGATTAATAGCACTGTCCCTCTAAAAAAATGGGCTTACTACATACAATAGCAACAAGAGCTTTTAAGATAGTTGAAGAAAAACATGAGAAAGATGAAAAAACATATTTACGGCAAGCACTACAAAATAATGGATAAACAATAAATAAATATAAACAATGTACTTAGGAAAGCAGAAAAAAAGAAAAAAATACAACATGCAACAACGACGATGAAAATCAATATGACAAGAAAGGAACACTAATACTACTGTACTACAAGGAATTATTGACCGTATTTCAAGAATCGCAAATAAATTCAAAATAAAAAGCGTCTTCCAATCAAACATAGTTATAAGATCACTACTTTGAAATCCAAAAGACAAACTGCAAACACTCGGAGTCTATGAAATACCGAGTTCATGTGGCAAATCATACATTGGGCAAACAGGAAGAGCTATTGCAACAACAATAAAAGAACACGAAAAAGATATAGATTATAAAAGAACAGAATAATTCGTAGTAGCTTAACACGCCAAAAGCAGTGGACACGATATTTAATTTGACAAAGTCAAAATACTAAACAAAGAAGTTCATTTTGGCAAACGGATGTACAAAAAAACAATAGAAATCGAAAACTGTCTAGAAAAATACTACAGAGAAGATAGATGGTCTATTAGCAAAACTTGGTTACTTATCATAGACCAAGCAAAAATAAAAATAACATACAGCAAAGAAAATAACTCAATGTGTGAAAAAACTACAATTAACATAACAGAAAATTGCCGGTGTAAAAAAGGAAGAGCTAATGTTAAAAATTCTGTAAACGACAACAAAAACCAAAACCAGATGTAAACAACAAACCAATAGCTGTCAACAACAGTACGATAAAAATAACAGTTAAACAATATCGACGTTATCAGTTATTAATTGATAGAAAAACATACCACAAAAAAGCTCAGCCGACAGTATAGTTACAACCACGAACTGCGATATAGAAGAAAGTTAAATATATAATTAATTAAATTACCACTTGAAAAAAATTAGACACATTTATAACATATAGGAAACGATTATTACCTTTTAAATTATAAATAAAAAATTTCACGTAGTTCACAAAATATCGAGAAAAAAAATTCCTAAAATTGCTTTTATATTATGAGTAATTGAGTGATAGGCTACTAAAAGGTCATTATATTTGTATGTATAGTAACATTGAGAGGTAGTGAAAACTACCATCTAAAAAATAAAATACGAAAGTTGTTTGATAACTGGTTTGTAATAACTAAATTATAATTAAATAAAGACGTTTCTAAACTTTTTAATAGTTTGGAAAAATAACTGATTTTAAACTATATATTGTAATTAACATTATAATAATATATTTTAATTATTATTATTTAATTATTAAATTTTTTTTCGTAAACAATTTAAAAAATTCAGCACACTGGAGACGCCGCTTAGTTGCGACAAGTATACATTATATGTAGATGATATCTGACGATGATTAACATCACTTTCATAAAATGCTTCGATGCGAATCTATTAAATTAAAAAATAAATTTGTATATTTGTAACTTTAAAATTTGCAAACTTTGTCTTTAACCTAAAATAAAACTAAATTTTTTGAAGAACAAAAATTGCACCAAAGACAAATAATGATTACCTATTAGTGATGTTTTTTGAGTACGATAGTGCTAAATTCATGATGTAACTAAAATATTGATATACTGAATTATATTTTATTATTATCATAATAATAACGTAAATCACTTATTAAAAAAAAGCTAGCTTTATTAATACTACAATAAGAGCAATACAAAATATTATAACATAATATTATATAATAATATAAAATTTATAATATTATTTCCATAACTTATGGAAATTTTAACTTCAGTGATCATTTACTTATAGTGGTAAAATTGTTACAAAGTTTTTTTTGTTTGAAGATCTTTATTTTAACATAAGTTTTCATTTGACAGACGTCACGAAATATTTTCAAATTCGAAAATAACATAATTTCTTTGTAAAAATTGTAATTTTTTTTTACTTTTAAGGCCGATTTCACAAAGTAACACTATCATGGGATGTTTTTTTAATATTATGGTACACTTTAAAAACTTTAATTTGATATCAGTTTAGGGTGGTCATACATTTTGAAAAATTTTTAATAATGGAAAAAAAATTGTTTACATGCATAGGTAACCTCATTTAAATCGTTCCTCTAATTAGATTTTCATAAGAAATAACAAAAATAAGGTTGTTTCTAGTATTGTCAATATAAATTTTATTAAGATTTATGTTTTTAAAAAAAAATTAAAACAGTTTTAAAACGTAGAAAAAAATGATTTCTATAATATTAGAGAGCTAACAAGAAGCGTAAAAATTCATTGTGGGTAACTCAATTTTTTATTTTATTTATGAATTTTTTACTTTTTACGATTCTAAAAGCTATTGATTTAAAAGTTTTTTTGATTTATGGAATTTTGTATTCATCTATTAACACTATTAATAATAATATAACTAATTTTATTAATTTTATAAAAATAATAATATTTAAAACAAAATTACAGTGGCATTATTAAACTTTATAATAATTTATAACTTTTTAATATTAACTTTTCATTACCATCAAATAAATATTTAACAGTTTAATGAAATAATGTAATTTTCTTTTTATGAGATGATTGGTAATTTTACTTCAAACATTTATTCCCGTCGTAAAATTTAAAATAATTTTAATTTCAGCATTAAGTATCTATTAATATAAATCTTTTACATTTATAATTTCTGAGTCTATTAGACAATTTTAAAATTTAAAATGTCTTTTGCAAAATTTATAATTTTTTTAAATATGAAACAAATCTCAAAATAACTTAATTAAATTTTTTAGCATACAACAAAAAACCTATATCTTTACAAATCATAAAAATCTTAAAGACCCATTTTTGTGCCTGATTAGGCTCAATTCTTGGCTGTTCTCTGAAATCATATCTCTTTTAGAAAATTTTTAGAAAAAAACAAATAAAAAAATTCAATAATGTTTTATGGAAACTGATATTTGTAGAGCAAAAACAACATTGCCAATAAAATAAATAATAAAGAAAACCAATACAATAGATAATATACAAATATAATAGAAATGCGAACAAAAATGTTTAATAAATATTGATAATAGTAAAATTTTTAACTATTACTTTTGAAAAATCAAAATTCACTAAAGAAATGTCTTCTCTTGCTATTCTCTGAGTTAGGTTGCCCATAAAAAATTTGATAAATTGGTATAGAAAATGCAGGATTCGGATGGGAATGTTACTAGGAAATATGAAAATTAATCATTTTCAAGATCACAGGATTTATCAACTTAAATAAAAACAATAAATTTGCATATCTAAGTCTTTAAGCCAAAGGATCTAAGCTAATATTTATTTGCCGCCCTAGAGCAAACATATATTTAGCACCCTATTTAATATAATTTTAAACATCTTATGCAAAATAAATTTTTTCATATTTTTTTGATGCTCTTAAATGTGTGGCACTCTAGGGAATTTGTCTTCCCTTATCATGGCCCTGGATTAGGAGCTGTAATTATTGCTCTTAAGATAAATTCTACAACGAATTCGAAATTTTATCACAAAACTGAAGATATTGCTATAATTGTAATAATGTTAAAGAATAAATTTTTTCTGTACTCTTTCTAAGTCTACTATTTGACTATTTTGAGTAGGGCTTAATAAAACTAAACTATATTCAACTATAAATCTTACCAACGAACAATAGAGAATCCTGAGATAGATCACGTTATTAATATCTATAGTATGTGATATAAAAAAACCAAGTTTTTACAAAGATTTTGTTTTTAGTTGGTTAATTTGAGGAAAAAATAATGAATTTGATTAAAGAACTATACTAGGATACTTATTATCATAACTTAATTTATATATTTACCTCAGAAATAGTAATCAAAGTTAATCATGTATTTGAAACGATAAAAACTAACCTTTTTATATTTACACGGATAAAAAATACGATTAAAATAACCACATCTATTGATTATCTATTGATCTCATTAAAAGCCATTTTTGAAATTTCAAACAAATATCAAAAACTTCTTATAATTTTGTAAATGACCGCACTTTTTCATAAGATACATAAAATTATACATTTAATTTTATATTATACACCTAATGAATACAAAATTACACCACGTATTTGTTACTGAAACCTTTCACTAAAGTAATGCTTAAGACGACGAAAGTCAAGAAAAAAATAATAACTTCTGATTTTCATAGTTCAACAGAATATTATATAAACAAAAAATGCACTTAACAAAGATTGATGGCTCTTAATAAGGTATTGTACAATATTACAATGTTCGTTTTTCTAACGTTTCCCCGCTCTTTAGTATATCTTTTCTTGAAATCCATCAAAAGAACTACTTGGGGTTGATGTTATTCATATGTGATGTTTATCAAGTACATCACGTATTTCTTATTGTTTGACGTTCAGAACTCTAGTAGAGATGGTCAAACGAGATAAATGCACGTAAATATCAAAAATGTCTTTAATGTTTTTGAATATTTACGACTTAGAAGTAATTTTCAGTTCAAATATTTATTACTTTTAACATTGACAATATATTTTAAATCATACAAGATGATTATTTCACTATGACTCACGCAATATTTTTAAAAATATATTATTACAACTTTTTTTCTTCTTAATTTTTGATAATGTTTTTAAAAACTTAATAATAAAGTATATTTTTTTACGTAGATAGCTGAGGAAGAATACCATGGCATGATATTATGCATTTTCTATTGTATTTGAATGCGACCCAAATTTAGAGTCAATAAAATAAATAGATTGGTAAACCTTATTGTGATAATAACCGCTTTCGATTAATCAAATATAAGACAAAAAAAAAGTTTTTTGATTAAATTTTTAATAATAATTCCTATTAATAATCATGCTAATTTCTGTGACGATTCGGTCTTATTGGGTCACTGTACTTTCCATAGGGTTTAAATAGGTTGGAATATATAAATATATATAACATTGATTTTAGTAAGACATTTGATTCAGTTACACGGATAAAAAATACAGTAAGAATAACCTATAAACGGTTACTATAATGAAATCTACAATTAAGACAGTTGGAATATATTATAATAATATTCGGATAACTCCACCACTTATTTAGTTATTAAAACGGTTTTTATACGAGTTCTCGTTATACTAACATTTCCTTTTATATGTGTAATCTATTTCAATCAATATATAAAAATTTTTTTAATGTGATAATGGTGTCCCGTTATTAATATTGAAAGGTATAATTATTTTTAGAAATGAATACATTTTTTTCATTTACTTAAATGGCAAATAAAAATTGATTAAAAATGATTTTTCCTCTGAAAAGTATGAATTTAGTCAATAAGTTTCTTTAATCATAGAGTCTTCATATTATGTTATGTTGACGCTTAAACTATAAAAAAGTTAATTATTAATTGATGGTGGCAATATAAATGAGGTATATATTCATTACAACTGAAACACCCACCGTGTCTCTGTAGGTGTAATACACCTATGTAATACATGAATCAATCTATAAAATTAGAAAAGAAGCTCATTTTGTAGGTTTTTTTACTTCCTAAATAACATTGTCCGAATTCAATGCCAAAAGAACGAATCCCCCACCCCAACCTGCGGGTTAACATTTTATCTAGCACCTACACTAACTCATGAAAACGAACAGATTTAATAATATAAATGCATTTATATAATATAACAGATTACCAATGAAATATTATATATTTACACCATGAACACTTAAGCGAGTTTTAGGTTTAATTATATTGGCTAATGTAAAACATTATAATTCGCAATGCTGTATAAACTGTATTATTATATAAAAAAAATATTTTTTTCAACTAACCGTCCAACTTTTTTCTGTAGAAATAGTACAAGAACTGGTCCAGCTTACTGAACTGTTTCTCGACGATACTTCTTGAACCACTCGAAGTCGAGCTACGTGATCGGTCATCTTATTCGGTGGTGATAACTTCGCCGTTATCTAAGAATTAAAAGATTTATTAATATATTTATAATAATAGTCTATAAAATCTCATCAAAATTTCATTAGCGAAAATAGTATAAAAGATTTCGGTTATTTACTATTAATGAATAGTAATTATAGTAGTTTTAAAGCAAAAAAAAAAAATAATAATAATAAATATTATCGAAATATTTTGAGTTAATAATTAATTATCACTATTATGGTACTCGGTATATTTTAGTTTAAAGAAAAAATGTGTGTAGGTCTGGAGGATCCCTCCAAAATATGTTTACTATTACAGAGTATTTTTCCTCATTATTTGTTATCTTTTGGGAATTTTTCATAAGAGATAAGCCATTCTGTATTTATGTTTTAATACATTGAATTCATATATTTTTAATACTAAAATTACGTAGAATTTATCTCAAAAATAATTTAGAATACACGATTTATTTAATTTTGTAGTTAAAAAGTCAAATGATTGAGTTCCATAATTCCATACATACAGCGAAATATTATCAAATTGGGGGTGTAAAATTGAAAACTATAAAAATTATTTGACTCTATTATTTCAGATAGATTTTTTTTTATAATTTTTCTCTTTATGTAGGTTTTTTAAAACATCATGATAAAATTTAAATAAAAGAATTTGATACGATGTTATTACATATTTTAGTAGATAATAGGATTTTCAAAAAAATTTTTTTTAAAAATAAGGTTTTATTAAATAATTTTTTTAATTTAGTTAATTTTTTGTACAATAAAGTATTTTTAGTAAGCGATTTAAGTAACCCCTAGACGCTACAGAGCGCACATCAAATGCGTTGCTCTTATTGATTCTTTTCTTTATTTTAATTGCATCGTATCATCACTGATACATCATTATTTTTACTTTCTACTAATTTGAAATGCAAATCTATTACAATTATTGATTTCATCAATCATGCAATTTAACATATTCGCAATGTTTATTACACTCAATTTATACTATTATTAGTATAATAGTATTAATTAAGTAATATTAAGTATATTAATCCGTTCACCTACAGCCTACCGCCGTAGGTGAACGGATAGGTTACCATACGTGCGCTTTTATGGTGGCGAAAAAATACCATGTTCCTAGTGCAGAAGGCAACAGGAAACCATTTATAAATTTCCTAATATATACCAATACAATTGGTATTAACCAACCTAAAGGCTGTAAAAAAAAAAAAATTAGTGTAATACAATTTTTATAAAAAAAAGTGTCATAACTGATCAGTCGACCAATAAGAGCGCTGCAGTTAATGCCCGCTCTGCAGCGTCTAGGGTTTCTTAATAACATTGATGCAAATGCGTAGTTAAAATATTTTAACCGTTTATAAATATATACGAAAAACTTCTAATAACTTGTTGTGGTATATTTGCATTATTCACTGTCATGTTTAAGAAAGATCACGTTTCATACTAACGTCTATAAAGAAATTATTCTAATGTTATAACACTGAGAAAGTTAACAGACACGGGTCGTAGGCGGATCATGTATTTTCAGAGACCCCGACATCCCCAGATCGCAATTTACAACGGGAGCGATAGTCCGATGAATCACGAAGATTTAAGCACGGAAAATAGTTGAATAATCGAGTTAAACAGTCGACGAAAAGGGTCGATCAAGTAACGTTTAAATTTTATGGTATTGCGCAATATATGCCATAATTATTTTGTGAATTTTGCGTGCAGTTAAGTAATCCAGATCTTCGTGTGTGAGTTTATAGTTTTCCTGTTTATGTTATAATAAATTGTTGACAATTTAGATGGAAAATAAAGGTAAATATACTAAAATGCATGATATAATTATTATACTTCTCTTAAGATAACCGTATATAAATATACTGTTATTTTTACTATATATTATTATTATAGGTGTATTAATACTATTATTTATTTAAAGAGAGCATTTTGAAGTAAATTTAACGTTTAACAATAGTGTCATCAACAGTTCACAACGATGGGATCGTGAGGCCATGATTTCTTTGAGAGGTGTCACGAGCACTTTTTCATGTTGGTATTTTTCAATACAACTGAATTTATAGCAATAATAAAAAGTGTCGGGCATGGTGTTATAACTGTTTTTATAGTCTGCATTCAACTTAAGTTGGTAAAAATATTACTGGTCCAACGACATACTTAACAGTATTAATTTAAACACAATACGTGTATTATGTACATTTTCGTATTAATACCTATTTACAAGATTTATCTCGCGAATTAAGAGCACAGATCTCTCTATTGTTATACATAAAAGCGCAAAAATCAGTGTCCAAATCACACAACAGTACCTAAGATTAAACTGCTCTCAGAATATATATATATATATATTGTTCCGATGGTATAGATATTCTTTAAGAAGATAAATTATTAGTGGTTAATGTACAGTTACAACAGTTATTCAGCAATAAATAAATGCAAAACTGTTCGTTACGAGTCATACTGAGTATTTATTATTATTATACATTATTAAAAAGTAAAATTTAACATAATTTATAATGTTAGATTAATTGTAACGATACAGTATCAAATTTTTTTGTTATATTTATAATATTACATAAAAACAACAAGGAAGTTTCTATAACGTGTGCATTTGATTTCGACTTATTAATATTTTTAATTTAAGTACTAAAGAAGTGTATTCATGCGAATTATTTCTACTGTAACTAATTGATTTTAATAAAACACCTAATTGGTGAAAATTAGGTTGAACAACCGTAGTAAATCGGCCATATAATTTAGAACTGTTATAGGCATGTTAATATTGCTTTTAGGTATTTATGTTTAAATACTCATTACTTAAATTAAACAAAAATTAATATTTGAAATCTTAATCAATTCATGAATTGTTTCGATAGATACATTATTTAAGATTCGTACATCGTAATTAGGTTAAGTTAGGTTTTTCTTTTGCGGAAAATATGTCTATTCCACAAAAAATAATTTGACCTTCGATTACTTAGTCAATTTCAGTAGCAATTGGGACAGGTTATCAAATTATATGTTTTATAAGTGAATATATTATATTGTATATAGAACATGATTAACAATACTAGATTCCAAATAAGTAAACTAGATTTTGATTTATTATATATTACATCTGTGTCTTATAAATTTTGAAAACTGCCAATTATAATAAAGAATTGCACTCTTTTATTAATAATATTTTTAAAGCATTATTATATTACTTAACACTTAGTGTGAGTGTGTGTGTGTGTACAGGAAACTCATTGCAACATACTGTTTTCTAAGCAGTTTCACCTTTTCTACTAAACAAGCTTCACAAAAATTGCTATATTTAACTTTTTATTCAACTGCGGTGCGTACTAGCTGTATTACGATGTGTTAATCAGGTCACATTTAATACTCTTACTAATCAAATAGGAAAGTCTATCATCTATTTGTACATAAAATATAGGTTATAAATTATTACTATAAAATTATTTTTATTTCAAACTTTTTGATTTTTTTTTTTGTTTAAATTTAAAATCTATAAACATTATGTATAATCATCATTTTTTAGGAAATTTAGTATGTCATTTGTACTTTTTGATTTTTCAATTAAATCGAAAATTATAAAATTGACATTTCAAAAATTAAAGGAAAGAAAAAATTGTTAACAGAACTCTTACAAAATAATATTTTATATCAATCGTCCAGATATTTTTGTATCCAAGACATTTTTAATAATAATTGATTTAAAAACTTTCTATTAGATAAAAACGTGATGTAACAAAATATATATATATCAATAATATGAATACATACAAATTGAAATAGTTATTTCACAATCAGTATCTATAATATTGGTAATTTATGTGAAAAGTTTTGAAAAAGCTACCTGTTTGTAAAAGTAATAATCATTTCTCATTTGGTTGAAGTCAAATCTTTGAGGATATAATTGATACATTTAATAATTATTTTTATATATACACTGTAACTCGCGATTTTCACTATAAAATATATTGATAGAAAATTAATGGTGTATCTGTAGATTCAAACTAAGATATTACTATAAAACTGTACAGTTACTATGAAGTCCCGATATAAACTGCGGTCAGGTATGTGCCTTGTCTTTTTACAGATTTTCCGCTCTCGGCAATTTTCACCGTGCCAAACTCATTCTTTTTGAATGTCTAATAATATTAACAATAAAAAATATAATGACACTAATATAACAATCATAATGGTAATAATGTGTAAAAATGACGATGAAAATGCATTCATGTGACTAACAGAACATATATAATAACAGCCATAAAATATGTAGAATGATACCTATGTAAATAAATGAAGAAATATGTAAAATATCATATCAAATGCTAAAATTTTCAGAATTGCTCAGACGATTAAAATTTTTTGTCAGTTTCGATTTAAATGAAGTGTTTTTAGAAAAATGTGTAAAATACATTATGTAAGACAAAAAATTGTTTTTTTTTTTTCAAAGAACGTTTAATATTAGGTGCAATGGCTAGAGGTATGGAGATCAGCTCTTGAAGGAAATGGATAAAGAAAAAGTAGAAATAAAACAGAATACATAGAGTACGAGTTTGACAAAGGAGAACATTAGGTAGGTGAAATTAATAGATCAATGAAAATACGCGAGGACGTGGTAGGAGAGGTGGAAAGTATTAAGTATTTAGGATCAGTTAAGCTGTGCAATGAAATGGCGGTATTGACGAGGATGTAAAAGATAGGATTAAACACGAGTGGGTGAAAAGGAGAGAATCGTCTGGTGTGTTATGGAATAAGAGAATTTCAATGAGGCTGAAAAGTAAATTCTACTAGACTATAATATTATTTTGAATAATTAGATAATAATTTCAGTGAAATCTATGGGTGTTCATATGAAATTTGATCAATCAAACTCATGAACATCTTATAACCATGAAAAGTGGCAGTTGATGAATTATTTTTGAATATAGTAGTTAAGAAAAAACCATTATATTAAAATATTTATTTATCGAGGACAAAATTTTAGTTTTACATTT